TGGATTTGGTTTAATTTTCCTCAGCTTCAGCTTGAACTTGCATATGAATAATTGGTGGTCTGTTCCACAATCAGCCCCCGGCCTAGTTTTCACAGCTGATATTGAGCTTCTCCAGAGGTTCCCACACTTTTCAAATCCACCAGCAGCTCTGAGGGAGAAGGAAGAGCAATCTCTTCTCCTGTGATTTACCGCCTCTGAAAACTCATCAGCTATATTGACTCGATGGCACAGAATGACAACATCATTAAACTACATACAGCTTGTTGGTCAGGAAGTTGGGAAGCCCTAGGTTGGAAGATTCTTAAGCTATTCCGAGAGACCTTTGGATATTAGGGCAAAGCACAGAAACTGGTTGCCAGCAATCTGCTTGTTAGGTCTGGTTGCTATGGCAACCACAGGGTATTGTCCTGTAAAGCAGGTATTGCGACAAGGTTTCTGGGATTGTGGCTTCTCACATGGAAAGGAGATAAAACCTCAAGAATGAGGTAGGACCTTTTTGACTCACTAGATTACTTTTGGGATTAGATCTCTAGCTGGGATTCCAGTATCAAGGTGATCGCTGAATGAAAGAGGGAGTAAAGATAGTACCTGGAGTCCTAGTGAGTTGATATGAGCCATGAAAACTCAGCAGCAAAAATGGGGTTTTTACTTAATTCTGTGATCTTCAAGTGTATCCTGTCTTGGTAGCTTGTACCTATCCCAGTTAGGTCAAACAGTGCCTCCCAACCAAGTTCCCCAGCTGCTAAGCTTGTTAATCTTAGATAGATTAGCAGGAATAGATTAGTACAAAAGGACTAATAGTGTAATAGATTAGGACAAAATAGTTGTATTATATATTAAATAAAGTAGTTAAGATATTTTCTTTCCAGCGATGAGATCGTCGAGTTTTTCATTTTCAACTTAGCATCTTTATTACTTGAGACTTTTTAAAGTGTCCTTTTTATGTAATACTTCCATAACAACAACAAAAAAAGACGGTAAAAACATGAAAACAGTAAAGGATAATGCTAAAAATCAAGGAGACAACTGTTGATGTTTTTCCTTTTCACTCCTTAAGTTTTTAAGACATATGAATTATTTTTCCAATACGAATATTTAAGAAAGGAAACTCCTTAAAGTCTACCTTTACTTTTTCAAAGAGAAACATTGCATGGGAAATATATATGGGGTTAAAAAATCCCCCCCCCACACACACATATTTACGCTGTTTTGGACAATGTATTCATTAACAAACACTGGTAAGCATAAATGAAGGCCTGCCATTTGGAAGACACAGTCACAGAGGTTTTCATTTTATTTACTTCATCGGCTTGAAAAAGGACTCTTAAAAGACGGCTTCAAGGAAACGGTAACTTTTTGAAAACATGCCCTGGAATGGAAGGAAGGTCGGGCGCCTTCCGCGTCACGTGACCCGCGAGCGCAGGGCGCCATCTTACGCAACGCCTCCCTGCGGAAACCACATCTCCCAGAGTCCTTTGCGCTCGGTGTCGTGCTGGCACTTTTACTGGCTGGGCTGTAGAGCGCAGCCAGTAGCTGTGCGCCATCGTTGACGCTGGCAGTCTTGGATTTGTGCTGGTGTTGCTGCTCTGAGGACGACGGGTGGCAGCGGCTAAGAAAGAAGAAAAGACGTGGCAGCCAGCGGGAGTCGGGGCTAGTGTCGTCGGTTCGGTAAAGTTCTGTCTTATGGTAACTAGAGCTGTTTTGTTTTTTTAAATTTCCGGGTGACTTGGGGCCGGGGAGGTGGGGAGAGGGCGAGGGGAGTGGCAGCGGCCTCCCCTCGCCCCCCAGGGTCGCGGCCTAGCCCGGGAAGTCAGAGGAGGAGTGCGGGTTGTTCTTCGGGCGCCGCTGGCACGACCCCGTCTCCCCATCTCCCGTCTGTGCCGTCGCCGAGGCGGGCCGAGAGCCCCGGGCTCCCGCTCACTTTTCCGTCCACCCCGCCCCCACCGCTTCCCCCGCTCCCACGGCGCCTGCTCTTTTCCCGACCAACCACCCTTCCCTCCCTCCCCCACATCCTGTGTTAGCGAAACTTGTAGGCTCCCCGAGCCGTCCCCGCCCCCCCCCCCCCCGACTGCCGACTCCAGCTTCGGGGCCGCAGCGGACCCCCACCCCACCCCCTCTGCCGAGCGCAACCCTCGTGCCAGGCGCTGCATTTACCGACTCTCGTTCCTCTCCAGGATCCCCCTACTTTGGAAGAGGTTCTCAAACTCCACATACTGAAAGCCACCGTCATTTATTCCGGTATTCTCCATCCCGGCCCTCCCCCGATTCCTCTCCTGCCCCCAGCCCTCCTCCAGCGGAGTCAAGAGCCACAGGGACACTTCCGTTCTCCTTGTAGGATTGATGAGACCGTAGTGAAGAACACCCCCCAAACTCGCATAATCGCTGTGGAATCCTATGGGCAAGGCTTATATTGTTGGCATCTTCCGACCTTGGTTCAGGACCTTGAGAAGGAGGCTGTGGAACTCTAGTGATAGCGATGCTATTTAGGGTAAATGTATGTAGGTATCGGGTCAAGGTGAGGGGGAGTCGTTTAAGGAGGAGTGGAAGTGCTGTAAAGCTCTCGTTTCAAGTTTTGTTGCTCTTTTACAGTTCACTCTGTGAGTTACTCACTGACAGCCTGTAAAGTTTCTAAGCTTCTTGTCTAAAAAACCCTGGAAAACTAACATTAACTCCTGATACAGACAGTAAATGTAAAACGCAGTTATTTTAACTTATTTTGTAATTTTTTTTCCTTTTCTCAAGCTATCCCCCCCATCCCACCCCCAAGGCATCCACTTTTGGAATTTGGGTTGCTTTTAGAACTGAAAGGGCACAGCTAGCATTTGCTGTTAGTGACCAGTATGTGGAGTCTGATTTAACTTTTCCTGAACGGACTTAACTGGGTTGTATTGGCAAATCACCATCCTAAGTAATGCACTGTGTTTTTGTTGAAATTAATTTCCCGGAAATAGCTAATACCAGATTTTAGGGGAAATCAGAGGTGCTATCATGAGGCATCAGTTCTATTTAGAGGGCTGAGGGAAGATAAAATGTTCCTGATGAAACATAGAGCTGAGATTAGAAGACTAACTTTATGATTCTGGGAGAGTGGGTCTCAGTTCTCTTTTCTTTAACATGCAGTTGGATTGTTTTAGTTCACAATTCAGAGAATTGGAAGGGATCAGAAAGCCCTCTAAGAAAGAGCTTGGGAATGTTCTCCTTTGCTGTCACTTTTCCTCCAAAAATAACCTGGCTTGGGAATCATTGGTCGGAAGGGAACTTGACGCCTCATAGAAATTGGAGGAAAGGGAACATAAGGAGAGAGGAACAGCTGTCTTTCTGCTTGAGTAGTAAACCTACTCACAAATTCCGGTACACATTTTGGAGACGTAAAGAGAATGAGTGTATGTACCCTAAGTGTGCCAGTTTCCTCAATCTCTTCTAGCAGAAGATGCCACGCTTTTAGTGGCACTGGGATTCTAGGCTGTGTTCCTATTAGTTCCAGTACTGATGAGGATGATGTGAGAGAGAGAAAGATGGTGGCTGACGGAGTGGATAAAGAGAAAAAATTACCTTCTAAAAAGAAAAGAAAGAAGGGCTTGCGAATTAAAGGGAAAAGGCGCCGAAAAAAATTGCTCCTTGCAAAAAAGTTTAAGGATTTAGCCTCCGGAAGGCCTATCGTAGATGCACCTGCTTTGCTAGCTTCCGGTGTTCCTGAGCAAGATGAAGAAAGTCTGTTTGAGAGCAATATAGAAAAGCAGATCTACCTACCTAGTACCAGAGCCAAGACTTCCATTGTGTGGCACTTCTTTCATGTTGACCCCCAGTATACCTGGCGAGCTATTTGTAACCTCTGTGAAAAAAGTGTCAGCAGGGGTAAGCCAGGCAGCCATCTTGGTACATCTACTCTTCAGCGACACCTGCAGGCAAGGCATTCACCTCACTGGACCAGGGCCAACAAGTATGGAGTCACTAGTGGAGAGGAGGATTTTACCTTGGATGTGCCTTTATCACCCTCTTCTCCATGTAGCAGTGGAAGCTTTGAATATATCCCAACTGATTCTTTAGATGATAACAGAATGGGTAAGAAAAGAGACAAATCAGCATCTGATGCCCTGAGGGCGGAAAGAGGAAGATTCCTCATTAGAAGTAACATTGTCAAGCATGCCTTAATTCCTGGAACAAGAGCCAAGACATCTGCAGTTTGGAATTTTTTTTATACTGATCCTCAGCATATCTCTAGAGCTGTGTGTAATATATGTAAAAGAAGTGTGAGCCGAGGTAGGCCAGGGTCCCACTTGGGAACATCAACACTTCAAAGACACCTGCAAGCCACACATCCAATCCATTGGGCTGTTGCCAACAAAGATAATGGTGCTATTGGGAATGGATTAGATGAATCTGAGACAGAGAGAAATGAGCTCTTGAGCGATCCTCTGCATGGAGAGAAGTCTACAGGTAGCCAGGATTTAACAATTGAGGATCTTAGTGACTCTGATTCAGAGGGACCTCCTGTGTTAGAAATTGAAAATAGAAGAGGTGAGAATCCCAGGCCTGCTGTACAGCCAGATCTGATAAGAGCACAGGGGAGGAAAAGAACATACTGTGAAAATCCAGTCTCAAGTCAAATTAGTCAAGCAATTATTCAGATGATTGTAGAAGATATGCATCCTTACAACTACTTCTCAACTCCAGCCTTTCAGAAATTCATGAAGATTGTGGCTCCTGACTATAGGTTGCCATCGGAGACTTACTTTTTCACTAAGGCCGTACCTCAGTTATATGATTGTGTCAGAGAAAAAATTTTCTTAACTCTAGAGAATGTACAGAGCCAAAAGATACATCTGACTGTTGACATATGGACCCATGACCCCTCCACTGACTATTTCATTCTGACAGTACATTGGGTCTCTTTGGAAACTGTACCTTCCAATAATGGTGGTAGAATCCCAAATTTTAGAAAATGGGCAGTGCTTTGTGTAACAGGTTTGGCAAAAGACTGTTTGATAACCAATATCTTACAAGAATTAAATGACCAGATTGGCCTGTGGCTTTCTCCAAATTTTCTTATCCCCAGCTTCATTGTTTCTGACAATTCCTCTACTGTTGTACATGCAATCAAAGATGGTGGTTTTAGTCATATGCCCTGCTTTCTGCGATGTTTAAATATTGTCATTCAGGACTTTTTCTGTGAACACAAAAGCATTGAGAATATGTTAGTGGCTGCAAGAAAAACCTGTCATCATTTTAGTCATTCAGTCAAGGCTCGACAGATACTGCAAGAGTTCCAAAATGATCACCAGCTTCCATGGAAGAATTTGAAGCAGGATGAGACTGGCCATTGGGTTTCTACCTTCTATATGTTAAGATGGCTTCTAGAACATTGTTACTCAGTTCACCATAGTCTGGGCAGAGCCAGTGGAGTTGTGCTTACCTCCCTTCAGTGGACTCTAATGACTCATGTTTGTGATATTCTTAAGCCATTTGAGGAGGCCACCCAGAAAGTTAGTGTGAAGACTATGGGATTGAATCAAGTGCTACCCCTGATACATCATTTACTCCTTTCCCTCCAGAAACTTAGAAAAGATTTTCAAGTCAGAGGTATTACTCAAGCTCTCAATCTGGTGGACAGTTTATCACTGAAACTTGAAACTGACAGCTTATTAAGTGCCATGCTCAAATCTAAGCCTTGTATCTTAGCTACATTGTTAGATCCTTCCTTTAAGAACAGTTTGCATGACTTTTTCCCACAAGGTACTGATTTAGAAACTTATAAGCAGATCCTTGCAGAAGAAGTTTGCAATTATATGGAATCTTCACAAGAAGTCTGCCATATTGCAACTTCAGAAGTTTCTGGCCCCTCAGCTACAGGATCTGATTCGTTTACCTCATCTGTAAAAGACGGCACCTCCTCCAGTTCAGGCTCTCTTGATAGCTCAGTCGCAAATAATGCTACTGGAGGCAAAAGCATCCTGTTTCCTTCTGCTATAGCACTGGTGGATGAATATTTCAAAGAGAAGTATTCAGAAATCTCAAGAGGTAATGACCCTTTGATTTACTGGCAGAAGAAAGTGAACATCTGGCCAGCTTTGACTCAAGTTGCCATTCAGTATCTAAGCTGCCCCATATGTAGTTGGCAATCTGAATGTATCTTTACTACAAATAGCCACTTTCATCCAAAGCAGATCATGAGCTTGGACTTTGACAATATAGAACAGCTCATGTTCCTGAAAATGAACTTAAAAAATGTTAACTATGATTATTCTACATTGGTTCTGAATCGAGATCTGGAGAATGAAGTTGTTCAAAGGAGTGAAAAGGAAATATTATCTTAAGGTTTTTTTTCCTTTTTCCATTTAAAATTAGTAACTTTTGCTATTATTGTATCCTAATTGCTATAATTACTACATAAAATAATACTAATTAACTTATAGAAACAAATCTGGGAAAACCTAAGAATATAAAAGGGGTGAAAATTCCTCAGAGGCAAAATAATTTTGCCAAACTGAATATTACAGATTTTGCTGTAGTAATTCAATTTAGCAAACATTTGAATTACTTTTTCTATTAATTGAGAAATAAAAGACTTTTTTCTTTTTTTTAATTAAAACTTGGAAAAGTAGTATATAAATGAAAGGCCTTGGGCTGTTTCTGGCCGATAGATTGACATGATTGGTTAGGAGGAAAAGTTTTCCTTATGTCCTTGCTCTAAACCAATAGAATGACAAGCATTCTAAGCTGCTAACCGAAAGGTCTGTGTTTAATCCTACCAGCTGCTGTTTGGGAGAAAGATATGGCAGTCTGCTTCCAGAACAATCCACAGCCTTGGAAACCTTTGGGGCAGTTTTACGTCCCTTAGTCACTATGAGTCAAAATTGACTCGAAAGCAAGATTTAGTTGGGGTGGGGTTGTTTTTTTTGTTTGGGTTTTTTTTTTCTTTTCTTTTTTTTTTCTTTTTTCTTTTTTTAAACTCCCAAAACTTACCTACCTACATCTTAATGAAACAAGCAAACAAAAACCTCATGAAACTGTTATATTTTGAAATTTCTATATGTCTCCTCATACTGGTCATTTCTAATTTCATCTTAATATGATAGAATTAGTCCCTTGTTTTGAATTGGTTCTATTAAGATTGAGAAATCTTAGAAAATAATTACAAACTACTTAAAGACTTTGAGTTGCCATTTTTAACCTTTATGCAGTAGTGTAGAAACAAAATTACATAGGTGCAGCTGCATATTTTATAGTTAAATGGCATATAATAAAAAGTTTGTTAAAAGTTTGGAAAAAGAATTAATGGGAATTGGAATGAAACCCAGTATGCATTTGCCAGAGAATAGTTGGCTAATTTTAAATGATCTTGAATGTCCTTTTTTTAAAAAAGAAAGAAAAAATCCTAAGTGACCCAAAATCCTGTATTATTATTAACTGTGAGATAGTAAAAAGAGTTGTTTCATGTGTTAGGAATCATGAGCCTCACTAGTAGAATGAAAACATTGATCTCAGTGATCCTTACAGTCCCTTTCCACTCTTAATGTATGTTTCAGTGAGTGGGAAGCCAGAAAATGACTTTTAGTAAAAGTCTATTGAAAATTTCAGATTGAATAACTAATATAAGATCCCAATTTTTCCTTTTTTTCATTTTAGATTTGGGGATATTCCCTGCCCAAAAAATTCCTGGAAAATTGACTAGTATTAAGTGTGAGTAAAAGGTGTCCACTTTTTTTTTTTTTTAAGTTTTTATTTTAGTTTTGTCTTGGATAGTATTTGGCAAGATTTAGCCTAGAAATTATGTAGTATTTATTACATGAGAATCAAAATTGCTGTATTTACTGGGCTGGTTTCAAAATTTGAGAACTCATTTCTATATATCAGTATATTTTTTGGGGTTTTTTTGGTGTTTTTGGGTTTTTTTTTATTTTAAAATGGTAAATGTACCATTGTGCAATGAAATTCCAATTCCAAAAATAGACCATTTACTGACTGGAGTCAATGGGTGATTACAGCATCTTCAGTTACATCCATTAGTAATAAAGAATTTGGAACTAAGCTGCAGAAGCAAGCCTTTGTAGGGTCAGTGTTGAATGTCGGTGACATTGGTGTTCATGTAAAAAGAAGAAAAAATATTCCCCCCGTAGGTAACATTTTCTTTAACAGTGCCAGTTCAGGATGGCTATAATGCTGCTCTGCCTTCTACAACTTGCTGCACCATTCTGTAGTTATTCTATAACTATACACTTTTATCTTTTTTGGCTAAACACTCCCTGAGACAAGAATGATGATATGCATACATCCTTATTTTACACATTCATAGTTATGTAAAAAATTTCCCTTCCTCTTTGGTTTGTGGGGTTGGCAAAATCTAGTATAACTTTAATTTTCTGATACTTTGATATAAAAGTTCAGTATTTTTATAATGAACCCAAATCTAAAAGCTTTTATATTTTAAAAGGGAAAACTTCCCCAAATGTTTTATTTCTACACATTTGTATATGTGTGTGTGTGTGTGTGTATATATAAGCCAGTTAGTATCTATGTATATTGTATACATAAAACACTATATTTTTACAAGTATGTTTTTATTATACAAATAATAAAGATGGGGGAAGGTTTCTGTTTTTTTTTTCTTAATAGGTGAAGAAATCTTGAAGACCAGAAATTGGATCTTAATGAATTTTGGTGTTTTTAAATTTTTTTTTCTTTACCATTTCTTTTTTAAATTCTATTACTCGGCTATGGAAGATGGATCTTTTTCTTTTTTTTTTTTTTTTTTTTTTCCTTTTTTTTTTCTTAAATGAAACTAAAGTTCATTTTTAAACGAACTTGTTTTTTTATATTTTATTTTTGAGGAGATAACTAACCCTAGCTGTCTCCAGTCTGACAAAGGTTATTCGAATGGACTTAAATCTCCCAGTGGTTTGGAGATGTTTTAGAAGCACGTCCTGTGTTTGAATTGTGGCTGAGAGGTTTCCTTGACAATGTGAGGAAGAGAATTCTTTCTGCCTCGTTGTTATTAATTCATGGATTGAGTGTTGGTTCGACCTACAGGAGTGATAGATTGGAACTCAGTGAAGACCCAGACGTTCCTCTTGAGATCAGCCAGCTAATGTAAGTATAGATATGGCTTTTGTTTTCCCCCTCCTTCATTAAAGAAGAGAATATTTTTTTAATTTAAAGTATAATTTTCTTGGGTTAAACGAAAAGAATTAGAAGGTGTTGTCTACGTGTTTTTATAAACTTTTACTAGTATTTTGACAGAAACATCTTTTGCATATATGTGTATCATAAAGGCATGTACATTGTAAAAAGGGTGAAAACAATGTAGCCAAAATAAAAATCCCTTTCACTTTCAGCTATGCAAGCTAAAAACACTAACTCTTACATGTATTAGGACATAGTTCTCTGTACACACAGCTCCGCTTTATCTTTCTGTAATCACTACATTTTTGTCTGCCATCCAATCTGAAATGACATCACTGGGTTTTCAGGAGCAGTAAATTGCATGGGATTAAGTTGCCCGTCCTTCTCCTATAGAGCAACTAGTAGATTTGAACCTTAAGCCTTTGTGTTGGCCATGCAGTTCCTTACCACTAGGCCACTAGAGCTCCCAATACATGGTCGTCTGTTACATAAATGTGCCATGATTTAACATTATTCGTATTCTTAGCTCTTTGTGATTTGGCAATTAAAAAAATGACTCTATTCTCAGTAACAAGTAAGTCCAGACTGATGTCTCCAGAACAGATTTCTTATATGTGAATATCATCTGTTACTCCCTAAAATGGTTGTGTCAGTTCACTAAATTAGCAATATTTTCCTTTGTCTTTTGAGTTTGTAAGAGCTCTTATGACTCCTTAATAAAAGCACTGACACTTGTTCATGTTTCTGATGTTGTTGTTATATGCCGTCGAGTCACTTGCGACTGATAGCGACCCTA